CTCCAGACCTTCCCCCTTGCCTCCAGGGTATGGGATTCATGAGGGACAGCTTTAGCAGTGAAGACCGAAGGAAAGAAGGCATTCAGTAACTCTGCCTTCTCTGTGTCTTCCACCACAAGAGCACCCATCTCATTCATCAGTGGGCCTACATTTTCCCTAGAAATTCCTTAACCTTTATCCAGACTGTGCCTTTATTATAGCAAGAGAATCAAGAAATCTAGATCTACACACAAGATGGCTAGCTCTGATTATCTCTCCATTACTTTGACAAAAGGTATGATGAACATACTCATAAAATGTTTCTTACTGCTCTCATCTTAATAAATGGTTATATCACAATTGCACCTAACTCGGACTTGTTAGAACAAGCTTCTCTATACTTACCAGGAACACGAACATGGAGATAAGCATGTAAATGTTTACTTTGGCTTTATGTACGGTTGAACTTCTGGCATATGTTTCATTTTCAAAAACTATTTTACCTTTTGCATTTTTGAAGGCATTGTGGTCTAATATTTGGAACAGCAGATTGGGAAACCAAATCTCTCTGACTCCCGGTGCTTCCACAGAGTCACTGGTGGGTTGGCCTCTCTTACCTATACACCAAGAGTACTTCAGTCTAAAACTAAACTCACTGAAACTATTTCACACATAGAAGGCCATTTCTAAAAATGAGTAAATGAGACAAAAAGTGGCTCTGAATTGCCAGGGATGTTTTTATATTGTTTGTACACCTAGAGACAGCGTACATTTAAACTCCCTCTTTAAGAAGACTACCTACACAGCTGCTGCAAATGCTGTATTTAAGCTATATTCACACAGGACCACTTTCTGGCTCTGCCTTCTTTACTGGGAAGTACGTTCTTTGCTCCAGCTTCCCTATGAGATTGCTATGTTTTTCCTCTCTTTGTTGCTGCTGTTGTTTCTATCAAGCATTGACAGAACCAATGGGGCCAGAGGTTACTAGTTCTTAATCTTGCTTTCCTTATCTGTTGGGCACTCCAGTCCACCTCCTGGTTGTCCTTATCACAGTTTTGCTTCCCACTCCATTGACAGGCAAGCAAGGGAACACATTGTATGCACAAATTGAAGACAGAAAATCAACTGACTCCCAAAACAGCATCTTGGGATCCACCATCAGACAGAGATTATCCAGAATGTCAACGATAGTACAATTCACACATTTTGTATCCAAGCTGATTATTATTCAAATAACTGGAAGATCAAAAATTAAAGTTTTACAGTCTCTATTATAAAAATGAATCTGTCTTTTTGCGAATGCTAAGGTGGGACTGCATGAATCTCCCAGGCCCATTGACATACATGTTCCAGATCTCTGCAGTTCTCCTTTGTCCTGTCTGCAGTGTGCCTAATATTCTCCTCCTGCAATCTCTTCAACAGTCGCCCATGCCAAGTACCATAACTCTATCTTACTTCTGCCTTCTCGGCTCCTCATACATAAGAAATGTTATCAGGTACAGTTTCAACGCTTGCAAACTTCTGTAATGCCTTGTTCAGTTTAAACCAAAGTTATTTCAAGGCCCACCAGGTACCCTGTGTTCCCACTGCTTTAAGGTCACATGCAAAGTTTTGGAATTTGTTTGGTTTTTGTCCAGAAACCATCACTTTGAATGCTCTGTGTTATTCAGTGCTGCCTGATGACTCTTCTTCTAGGTGCTGCTTTTTTTCTTACAAATCATATGTTCTTCCTTACAGTGGAATCCATTATATTGACCACTGCCAACATGTTTTATGTAAGGCATATTGGTTAATAAAATGAAAGGACCTTATGCTTGTAAAACCAAACTGTCCCTTTAATTCATGCAGATGTTGCAGCTGAGATTATCACTTAAGCTATGGCCATACAAACTGCTTTCCTGGTACCTCCTGGCATGTGAGCTGCTCCCACAAAGATTCATACAGGTTGCAACAAGCACTCCTTCATTACCCCAGCTAAGGATCTGGCAAGAAAATAGAGGCTTCATTGTACCAAGTGCTGTACATTATTAGATTAAAAGTTGTTTTGTCCCAACAGTTCATTTGAATGCACAGGGCAGTATGAAGAAAAAAAAATGTATTATCCCCATTTTACAGACAGTAGACTGAGGAATGGGCAAAATAAGCAATTTGTCCAAAATTATGCAGGGAATCAGTCCCGGAACAGGAAACTGAATTCTCAGATTTATATTTCATTCTTTTCCACTACAAAACTAAGGGGAAACAGAAGCGCTGTTAAAACTGCTGGTTTCACACTTGCACCTAGGCCTGACACACATCATATTCCCAGTTACTGTCCTACTCAGTTCCTAAAAGAACAACTCCAATTAACCAAAAATCTTTTCTGTTTCTGAGGGACATAACTGGATACCCTGCGTTCTTTCCTTGGGTCCAGGGACCTCCACTCTGCACCACAAACCACTGCCTTCCGCACCTACCAAGAATCTCCGCATCCAACAAGACCTGCCAAGTTCCCAACAGTACTTAATTCTTACATCAGAGTTTTGTGTATCCGCTCTATGGCATCCTCCAGCTCTTCCTTCTGGTCTGGAACAAAGCGGTACTCTGAGACGTATCCTGCAGTGTGCTTATACGGGTCATAGTCCCCCAGCTCAGCTAGAGGACACAAGAAGAAAAGAAAGGTCACCTATTTTCAACAATACATGTTAACCAAAAAATAAGTTATATAATCCACCTATCTGTTGCCAAGTCACCTCCTTCCAACTGACTGTTAATTTACCACACAATTAGTTAAAAAACTCGAAGACAGTACAGAACTGTTCACATTAGTGCACATAAAACCAAGGGAAAATGTCCTCGATCATTTTAAAAGAGAAATGTGAAGGTTCAAAGACCTAGAGGTTTTGACAGGAAACCTACCACTTCTACAGGACTAGGTATAATTTTGTCCAAGCCAGTAAAGTTGACATCTGATGACATGTATTATTTGGCAGCATATGTAAAACAAGCGTAGAAGCAAAGTTTAGTTTCCGGAATACCTATGCCATCACAATAGCTGTAGTATTACAGACAGAACTCATCCATATTCTCGCAGGGAATCCTAATGTGAACATCAGTGTGGGAATGTGAATGGAGACAAATATCCTGAGACACCTAGAGGTATGCCCTTCTAAGGGTAAGTGTCGTTCCTTGTGAGGAAACACAAGACTTAATTTTTCAATTAAATATTGATATATTTCCTGTATGTTAAATTCACTTTGAAAATAATTTTTAAGAGAATTTTCTTAAAGAAAAGAACCTAATGAACAGCGGATATAATTTTCTTTGAAACAACCTTGAATTTGTGTACATTAGCCATATCAGTTCACATGTTGCCATGCAATTATAAAATAAATATGCACCTTGGTCAGAACTCACTTCTACTGATCTTAACTGTAATTGCATCTACCTGAGAAAGTTAGTATTTCAAGTTTTTAATAACCCTGAGTAAAATCTGCATAGACTAGTCTTCTCTGAGAAAACCTTGACGGAAGGTTTCTATCCAGTGTCCACTAAGCCAAAAACATTACCAAAAGGAGGCTTCAAGAGCTACGAAGAAAAAGACTCATCTAATAACTCATGTTTCTTCCCAGAATTTAACGTTTCTAGAACAAGACAGCGATCTGCTCAGTAGAGATACTGAGAAGTTCCTCTCGAAAACCTCCATAAAAACAATGTGGTTCTTGCCCACAGAAGGAACAAGAACAGGAATGACTACAACAGCAACAACCCCAGCATTCCCAATAGGAAAACTGGCATATTCTGCAAACTGTGCCATGGGTACTGATTTTTCCACCATCACCACTATAATACTCTGCAGTCTTTGACTACGAAAGGAGGAAAATGACTCGTGCCCAGAGACCAAAGGTGAAACTCAGGCACAACCTGAATGGTGAAAGCAGGGCCCGTGGCTGGAACAGGACACGGGTAGAGGACTCATAGAACACGTGTCACCGGCTCCTCCTCTGGATCTCAGCACCTGCTAGCTCCAGAGGGAAAGACACCACTGATATCATCACAGAAGCAGAGATTCTCAGCCTACTACTGAATTCCCACAAACGTGCTCCCTCTCAGTTTGGAAAAGAAAAAAAAGCACACTCTGGCACATCACCCTTGGAAAGGCTGTTGACCTCAGTTCCTATGCTTTGGGTTCATATTTTCTGTATCTGACACAGACATTTCTCGGGTGTCTTTATACACTTTGAACAACTGCAGGTCCTAAATAGAGGGACAAAGCTTTTTATAGAGTCAATGGGAATGTACGCTTGGCTGGTGCCAGGACTAACTTTAACCCACTGTATGTAATCTTTGCCATGCCTTAACTCTCCTCTCTCACATGAGCTTCCTCATTGTTTTCCAATAGAACATCTGAGATTAGAATCACGAGAACAGGATTTTATGCCAAAACAACAGCTCCCCATACCCTAACCACCTTACAAAATGACTAAAAGACAAGCATTTATTCTTTTCACTCCTTTCTCATAGTATTTTTAAGATGTTACCATCATAATATATTTTCCTGCTTCATACTTGCAGTGTTTTTGTAGGGAGGGCACATATGCCAGAAAAGTAAAAAGTGCATTGCAAACAGTTTTTCAGAGTATGACACGTCGCATTTCTTAGACAGCAAAATGAAGTTAGAAATAATTGTACAAAAATAAAAACTGCCTGAAATTTTAGCTGTTCATTCAGAAACACGTGTGCTTAATATGGTGTGTTTCATAACACACCATGAAATTCTGTATAATGGCTACTGCCATTTCACACACAAGTTATTCTGCCTTGTTATTCTAAAATGGAAATGAAAGAAGGACTTTTTCTTATGTTGTATTAAGTGCTGTTGAGTCGCACTTGGAACACCAATAATACAAATTATCTTTGATTAATACATTTCACTCTTGGGAAACCCACATTTAACATAGAACAAATTACAGATACAGGTCCCAGCATGGCTCATCATACAATTTTTGGTTACCAGTTGTATCTGAATACAGAGCTTGAGCTGTAATGTGAAAGGAATAACTAACCGGTAGACAGACAGCTCCCTTCTAAATGACTGCTAGTTCTATTGATGGGATACAGCATCCACTTCTGAAAAGCTAACTACTGATGGGTGAATAAAGATGAATGACACACAGAATTAAAATTCTTCACTTCAGGTCAAAACACATCCTCCCGTCAAGCATAGGCATATTCATACTGACATAATGTAATTTTTTAAAGAATCTTTTATTTGACAGACTTTGTTGGCTGGAGGCTGCCAACAGCCCATCAAATCTGTAAACGTCCTGATGAAGGTCATATTCTATATGCAATCCAGAGTAAGTTATAATGTCTTAAGTTCATGATAAGGCTTTCCTCAGCAAGGCAAACAGTGCTTGGCAGACTCTTCAGACTGACTTTTCTGTTTCCTCTTTACATGAACTTCTACATTGCTTCTATATTATCTGTTCAGAACGGTGATCTATTTACAGTGCTTTTGTTGAAATCAGTCATATTAGTTTTGTTTTGTTTTGAAATGAATGCATAAACTGTAGCGAAATCTTCAGTCACCACTTAAAATTAACTATAATATAGCATTAAAAGAAATAAGCTCTCAGTTGGCCAGAAGAACTTACACTGAATTACATATGCTCCCAGCTGTGCTGCGGTGTTGATTGGACAAGGCAAGCGGCCCTGTAAAACATCTTGCTTGACCTGCAAGAAAAACTGATACCTAAAACACAGAGAGAAAACAAAGCTATTATTTCAATATTGAGACTGACGCACCAAGTAATGTTCATTATCTTCCAGTTTACTGAGACACACCACGTACCATAGCTATGTGACACTCAAAAACTGTATTCCTCTCTGAGTTACTTCTCCCTTATTGACCTTGGAGCGGCAACTAAGATTAAACTAGTGAAAGGAGCACTCTGCAGTTTTCCCATCTGCTTATATTGTGCAGATACCATTCATTTTCCTCCTGAAAAGGTAATTTCTCTCTTTTGAGTTTCAGCGAGCGACTGCTGTAGGAAGCGGGGAAGAGGGCTAGGAATCAGAGAAACTGAACAAGAAACATATGGAAGGGTTGAAGTTTAACCTGATCAGTGGACCAACATAAGGGACAACTGGATAGTGGATACTTCGTGCCTCAACGTTTCCTCTCCACACACCAGAATATCAACTCTAGAGCAGCAAGCAGATTTAATGGAGTCCATACTCCCATTAAAAAAAAACGGTCAGGCACACCATCAGCAGTTAACTGCATCTGTCATAGCGCAGGGTACTCTCCTTCTTGGAACAGAGATAGCAGGGGTAAAAATGTAATTTTCAAAGTCATAACCTGCTTTTACACTTGCTGAAGCATGAACCGAGACCACTTACAGCGAAACAGTATGCACAAAACAAATGGAAAAGTAAAGACAAGAAAACAAGTCACCACACAAAGGATCTTGTTGGTTTTGCAGCTCCCCACACTCATTCATAGGAAATCTTTTATACACTGTGTTTTGTCTGGGTTTATTGCAACCTATTTCAGCACTGTTTCACATCATCCTAAGCGAATTTCTTGCACCAAGTTCATACAAAAGGTAACAATACTGAGAAGGTAACATTTTAAAGAAAAAAATGGTCGTCCAATCAGACAGCTTTTTCATTACTCACTAATTCATCTATGTAAATCCATGCAGCTACACTGCAAATAGTTTATTCTGTGTTAGTACAAGTTACTTATGAAAGCACTTTGGAATGACTTGTAAGTTCAAAGTGCATCCGCACTGATTTCAGGGAATTTTGCAAGCTACAGGTTACATGATAGCTAACCCACATATCATTTAAGATCCAATCAAATTTACTAGACTTTATCAGCCCAGATGAGCCTCTGAATAAGGATACCAGTGTCTTTCTGGTCAATGATTACCCAGAATTTGTGCTGTGACAGATATTACAGGAGGAATATCCACCCTTAAAAAAAATGGCTAATATTCTCTGCCTGAAAGGACCAGGGCACTGCACAAGAATTTTCTGGGAATGTCATTAGGCAACACAAAGCACATACAGTCCATGTTTCCTCACTCTAAGCCATACCTCAGCACTGCTTCTAGCTTACGCTTGCCCGTCCTGCCTAGACAAATCCTGTCTGTATGAATGATGATAATGACAAAGATGATTTTACATCTACTGTGGAGCACACACCATCTTCTCTTTAACATGAAATGCACTGCTGATATGCACCCATCTTTCCGTTAGCAATTCTGAATCTCTACAGTGCAGAGCTTCATACCAGATCATGCTACAAATGTCTTTTTCATGTAGCAGGTATCTGTTTTTTCTGCATTCTCATAGCGTAGTCTCAAAATAAAGCAGGACAGGAAACTGCAAAAAACGCCACCTCCCCGCGAAAAAGAGTCAGAGCCAACTGTTAAGTGCTTAAGTGACTCCTACAAAGTGAACGATCTCAATTCCCACTGAAGCTGCTAAGCTCCTCAGAAAACCAGGCCTTTTGTCCAAACTTGTAGCTAAAGTACTCTCATCTTCTGCGCTGTCAAGTTTGTCATGCATATATAATAGTGCCTCAGCGCTAGTTTGCTCTAGCAAACACACCCAGCAAATGTTAATATGAATCACCGCAGTGTTTGCTTTTGCCTACAAGCTAGATAGATTTTGCTGTGAAGCAATTACAAATTTGACAGGTTTTCATTATTTGCAAATAGTAATCATGTAATGCCACAGATCATCAACATCTAATAACAACAGACTCTGCTCTCATATCCATTAACATAACAAACACATGCTCCAAAGAAACACATCGGTTAGCACAAAACAGTTAAAACTTGTCACAGGAATAACACAGGTAGAAAATTATTATGAAGAAGAAAATTAGGGCCTTTAATCCCTCATAAGTAGGAGGAGGTTTTATTTTTTTAATTTTTTTTCTGAAAAGGTATACCTTCCTTCCAAGGTTTAATAGCCTATAGGAATAAATGCTCAGAAACGTTGAGGGCATTTCACTATTCAATGTGTTTTGTTGAAGACTGTCGATACAAGATTATTGCTGTCTTATGTCCTCCCTCTGTACCTTTTAAGGTCCAAATTCTGCATGACCAACACTCTGCAGACATGCACAGAGGCTTACTAATTATACTAAAATGCTTCTCAACTAGATTTGCACACCTAATTAGCAGTGCAAGTCACTGACTGACGTTATCACAAGGCAAAGAGAAACAGTTTTTGAAAATTCAGCCCCTGTCATTTCCCAGACAGAAATCCACCCTGCCTCCCGGGTAGCAATGACAACAGGTTCAGTGGCCGAAGCTCTCTTCCCAGGGCCATCTGTCTTCCCCTGGGAGCAGGGCTGAAAGTGCTTCTGGAAAAGTACAGGAAAACCGCATCAAACTTTCACAGTACCGGGGCAAGACATTGCGGCCAGCTTACGCTCTTCTACCTGCAAAGTCACAGCATTTATTATTTTTACCAGGACAGTCTCAATCTTCTTATATTGGAGACTTCCATTCCTGC